TTTTTTATCAAATACTGCAACAACTGAATTTCAGCACTTGTACCCAAACACGTAACTGCTTATTTATGAAATCAATTTGAGCACTTAAAAGTGTTTTATTCAGCACTTAATGCTTATCAGCTACTTCAAATCAGCTAATCCAAACGGGCTCTTAAACTTTCAATAATTTAATTTCCGTCTCATACTTAAAAATTCTACTCTTTTAAATTCAACTAAATCTATGTCCAAATGTGAGCTTAATTGCTTACATCGGATGAGATAAGTTTTTTCCGATTTTCAGCTCATAATTATCTGACTCATTATTTTGGATGTTAGGTGGCTTTGATTTGCTGTTTCTAGTTCGATTTAGAAATTATTAACTTTAAAAATGTTTCTTAAAAAATAATTGTAAATGTAAAATTGAAAACGTTAAGATATTGGTGAAATAATTTTAGTTACGTACATTTACAGTACAAAAAATATTTGCAGAATACCTAAATTGACACCTTCAATTTAACCGAATTTTAACACGGAGGAAAGAGTGAAAAGAACTCCAATTTTAAAAAAAAAAAAAAAAAAGAAAGAAAAAATCACGAATTACTTGAGTTCCTGCTATGATTCAATGTTAATGATCTTATATTTATTTTTTAAACCTTCGCTCTGATGAGCTTGATGAATAACTAATAATTATGAGCATCATTCATCATTACATATATTGAATAACTCTAACAACAAAAAGTTTCGTTCATCAGAAGAAATCACAAATCTAGTTATCTTTTTCGAACACTAATCTCCCATAATAGTAATTGTTTACCCTCAAAATCCGATAATAATTGAATTTGAAAGTGGTTTTAAGGATATGCGATTTAACTTGATACAAAGTGATAAATTAAGTTGCAATTAACATAAACAATAATAAAGTAAATTCAAATCATACGAATTGAAGAGTTACAGTCTTGGAAGATTAGTGACCCCTCGAATTAGATGCACTTCGATCGGTATCAGGACACAATAAAAGCTTAAAGAGAAAAAATAATGTATTGCTTGGAATGCGTGTTACCATCTTTTTTACAAGTAATCAGACCCCCTTTATATAGTAGGTGAGTCCTATATTAGGTACAACTCTACAAAAGGTAAAAATCTCCTAATTAACTGATTGCCGATCTCACGTCGATATATGCCGAGATCTCCGCCATGATATTCGATCGGTCACGGATATCATGGCCTTCTGTTGGCCGGGCTTCCCGACAACGTTCTTCGAAGTTGATCAAGGCCAGGACCGATCCCAATCACGACTCCGATATCCTCGAGGGCGAGCGTTATTGTCCGGACTTAGAATTTATGAGATCTCTACCTCGGTCTAGGCCCTCTAGTTACCATATCTCGAGCTTGGCTTATTATGTCGGAGACCGGGATGTACTACGAGAACGGTTTTACCCATAATTTTGGCTTCATTAAGTCATCCTTAATGTTATACAAGTTATTACACTAACATGACCAAAATTATTTTGTTATTATTACTTTTTCTTTAATAAGCACTCTTCGTTCACTTTTACTTGACACGTTTTGACTTTTCACGCCGCTTAAGAAATAATAAGTGAAGTGCATAATTTACCATGATACTCATATTAATTGATGCATATTTTATTGGATTTGGGAAAATGATTTGAAATGAGTAATAAATGTTGTGGGTATAACAAGAAATTTTTTTTTTGTATTCTCTTGATTTGCGTAAAGTGACAAGTAAAAATGAAAATATATTTTTAGTATACATGCCAAGTAAAAGTGAACGGAGGGAGTAAGGCCTCATTTATTTGCACTTAATGGAGGTCTGAATCTTTATCATTATGATCTTAGACGTTAAGTGCGTTTGTTTTTAAAGTCTGAATATTAACTATTCAGATCTTAATCATTAAGTGTGTTTGTTTTTTTTACTTCTCAACCACTTAAGGGTCTAAATAGGTTGTATGATTAAGATCTATAACAGAGACTGACCTCATTTTTTTTTTTTAAGATTAAGACGTCTGAATCTGAATACACATATGAATATCAAGATGTGTATTAAGATTAAGACATCTGAATCTGAACACACATTTGAATATATTAAGATGTGTATTATGATCTGAATAGAAATAATTAAGACTGTTTGATATTTAACATCTGAATGTATAAAATTTAGGCGAAATACATAAACGGCCCCTTCAAGTTGTCCTCAACGACCAGCTGAACACCTTAACTTAGCCTATTTTCAATTAGACACTTCAAGTGGCAATTAAGTAGGTCAAGTAAACACCTGAGTACAGCAAACCATATGCGTGAATTGCACTTGCCAATGACATGTCAAATGGACCAATCAAGAAATGACACGTGTAATTTTACCATAAAAAATTGACACATGTAATTAACAAAAAAATATACATTTAAAGAAACTTCTTTATCATTTAAGAAGAGCTGCCGGAAATTAAAACTACGTACAAGTAATGTACATTAAGAAGAGCTGCCGGAAATTAAGGCTGCCGGAAATTAAAACTATCTACAAGTAATGTTTAAGCTATCTACATTTAAGAAGAAACTCCATCATTTTGACGAAAGAGTATGAAGAACCATATGGTTAAAAATTTCCGGCAACCTTAATTTTTTCCGTCGAAATTGGTTGTTGTGTCTGATAACTGGATGGATATTTTTTCCGATCGGTTGTGTCTAAAAGTGATTTGTGTCTGATAAGAATTTCCTGCAGCCTTCCTATATTATACATCTACCAAGTGAGGGCGATCATTCGCTGTTTATTGATTATACTTACACAATAAACAACATTGTCATTTTAATTTTCAGAGGGATTGTGTAAAATTTTATTTGTTTGGAAGTTTATGTTACGCATTTCAGATTGGTTGTAATGGAGGAATTTAGGGTTGAGGAGGGTGTTGAATGGTGGAGGAGAGAATTGGAGAAGAAGGGGTATGAAAATTAGGTGGGGTCCACATTAGTTTAGTTAAAAAAAAACAACCTAATTTTAGGTTGACAACTCGCGTCCCAGAGAGTGGATTTCACACAATGGAGGCTGACATGGTCGGGTATTTACTTGACCTACTATATTGACACTTGAAGTGTCTAATTGAAAATAGGCTCAGTTGAGGTGTTCAGCTGGTTGTTGAGGACAACTTGAAGGGGCCATTTATGTATTTCGCCTAAAATTTATCTTTATTTGAAAATTAAGAAACATAAAATTCAAATGAAAATACTAAACTAATCTAATATTCTATCAATAAAGTATATAATTTGTTAAAATATGATAGTTGTTGGCGGTGATGGCTAACGGGTGAATGCCGATAGAGGCGGTGGTTGGTGGTAGTTTTGGTTGATGATGGTGGTTCATGCTAGTAGCTGATTGGTAGTGGTGGCGATTATGATTAAGGATGGTGGTGGTGGGTGGTGATAGTTAATAATGGTAGGTGGTGGTAGTAGTTGTGACTGAGGAAGGTAGTGGGTGGGTGGTGGTAGGTTATAATGATGGGTAGTGTCGGCATTAGTTGTTGATGGTTATAGGGTGATCAGTTGTGGTAGTTGAGGTGGATAAGTGTTGATTATGGGTGAAAATGATGGTGGTCGGAGTTGTGGGATAGTGGATGGTGATGGTCGATAATGATGACGGCTATGATTGAGGATGATGGTGGCATGGTGGGGGGTGGTGGTGGTGGTGGTGGTGGTTGAGTATGGTGGTAGTGGCAGCATGGTGGTAGTTGATAATGGTAGGCGGTGGCGGCAGTTAATAATGAATATGTGATAGCATCTTAATGAAATTAAGTCTCTGTTATAGATCTTAATCATATAGACCTATTCAGACCCATTAAGTGGTTGTGAAGTAAAAAAAAAACAAGCACACTTAATGATTAAGATTTGAATAATTAAGATTCAGACTTTAAAAACAAACGCACTTAATGTCTCAGATCTGAATGATCAAGATTCAGACCTCCATTAAGTGCAAATAAATGAGGGCTTAATTTTATTAAGATGCTATCATCCATATTCATTATTAATTGCTGCCACTGCCAACCATTATCAACTAACACCATGCCACCACCACCACCACCACCATACTCAATCACCGCCACAACCACACCACCACCATCATCAATCATAGCCTCCACCATTATTGACTATCACCACCCACCATCCAAACAAACCACAATCACTACTCATTCACCTCAACCACCACAACTAACTACCCCATCACCATTAACGACCACAGCCGGCACTTTCCATCATTATAACCTATCACCACCTACCACCACCTTTCTCAATCGCAACTACCACCACCACCCGCTATTATTAACTATCACCACCCACCACCACCATCCTCAATCATAATCATCATTACCAATCGCCACTAGCTACTACCCTGAACCACCACCATCAATCATAATCGCCATTACCAATCGCCACTAGCTACTACCCTGAACCACCACCATCAATCAAAACTACCACCAACCATCGCCCCTAGTCGTCATTCACCCGTTAGCCATCATCACCAACAACTATCATATTTTTAAAAACTATATATTTTATTGATAGAATATTAGATTAAAGTACTTCATTTGAATATAATATTTATTAATTTTCTAATAAAAATAAATTTTATACATTCAGATGTTAAAAAATCAAACAATCTTAATCATTTAGTATTCAGATCTTAATACACGTCTTAATATTCAATAGTGTATTTGAATTCAAATATCTTAATCTTAATACACACTTTAATATTTACATGTGTATTCAGATTCAGACGTCTTAATTTTTAAAAAAAAAAAAGGAGGACTAAATCACTTGTGTCTTTTGGCAATTCTCAAAGCAAGTGTGAAATGTAAAACTTATTTTAAATGCATAAATTTATTTTTCAAATAAAGTACTCAAAGGGGAAAACTAATCGGCCGAGACAAACAACATTACAGCCAGTCAAAGGTCAAAGAATCGGCAAAATATCGCCGACCCCTAGATTTAATTTTACAACTTCCATCACCCTCTACAAAACAAACAAACACACTCTGCAGTCAGCAATTCCACAGCAGAAAAGAAGAGAAACTCTCTCTCTCCCTCTCTCTCTCTCTCTCTCTCACACACACACACAGTAGCTTAGAAGATATAGAGAGACAATCTAAATGGAGTACGAGAGGATTCACAAAGTGCAGGTACTAACTCCATTTCTTATTGTACTTTGTTTTTGTCTTTATTTTTGCTTTTAAAAATGATATGTTGATCTGGGGTTTAAAGCGGTTGTCAAGAATTATGTTTCTAACTCAATGTGAAAGTTTTTCAATTAGCTTTTTTTTAAAGATTTGGTTATAAAGTTTTAATCTTTTTGAAAAATTCTAAGATGGGTGTGTTTTAAAATTGCTTTATATGATGTAAAATTGCTTGGTTTTTAGTATTTTTTGTTTTGTTTGTTGCTTGCAGAATGGTATATTATCTCCAAGTAAGTTAAGGATGAAGCTAATTGGAGCTCACAATCAGAAGAAGAAAGAAGGATCAAATAGTAATTCTTCAAGAACTTCTCCTGCTAGGCTTGAGGATTCTGAGTTTGTCAAAAACAGTTTATTGGCTACTCAAAGTGGAGATTTTGAGGATGAATGTATGTTAATTTCTTCATTCAAATTTACTGATGTTGAAATAAATTTTTTGTTAGCTATAAAATCTAGTGGAAGTTTGACAAACAACAACATACCAGTGTATCCCACTTAGTGGGATCTAGGGAGGGTAGTGTGTACGCAGACCTTTACTCTTACTTTGTCGAGATAGCCTCTCGAGATAGAGTCTCTGTTTCTAATAGACCCTCAGACTCTAGTGGAAGTTTGAACATTTTAGTGAATTGTTGCATCCCATCTTTTCCCCCCAGTTTCTATCAAATCTAACAACCATAGTTTGTTAACTATTTGATGGAGACTAAGTGTTGCAAATTTAAAGGACCAAAACTGTTTAGTGTATATTTAAGGGGTTATTTTACACCTACCATAAACATAAGGGACCACTTTTGTCAATTTCTACTTTTTGCAGCATGAGAAACTTGTGGCTTGGATATGTGCCTCTAGGATAGTACTATATGTTATCTTGGAAGGGTCTAATTATTAAGATTTATGTTATATGCACAAATAGTTTAAAATCATATTTTTCAGTTGCCAATCCACATTTTGCTATATGCAGTTACCTCTAATTAGCTTATAGTAACATGATAGTGTAAAATTATTTTCCACAGTAACTCATGTTGAATTGGTGTTGAGTTGCTAGGAGAAGAAATATATTTAGAAACACTTTTCACTTACCTGGGAAACTGCTTTTTTTATTGTGCAGATTGCAATTTAGAAGCTGCAGCAAATAAATTGCCAGGAAATTCATTGCTAAATTCTAGGCAAGGTGACGAGACTTCAAATTCATGCCTGCCAAAGGAAACTGCGGAAGCTGCTCGTGCGAAAAGGCAGCAATTTTCTAAAATAGATGGCGGAAATTCTAGTTCGGTTCATCCAGTTAAAGGATGTGAAGATGAAAATATCGATTATGATAGTACATCCAGCTTCGAGTTTCATAAAGGGGAGAGATCAATGCACCACCATTCCATGACAACAAGGTCGTTTTCACGGCCCATGTCTTCCAAGTGGAATGATGCAGAGAAGTGGATAATGAATAGGCAAAATGTGCAAGCTAATTATTCTAAGAAGGTTCAATTACAGAACCAAGCACACCGGGGGCCTGCCACGAGCATGGTTAGAGTAGCTCCGGAATCTAGTGGTTATGAAAGTAAGTTAGCAGTTAAGAAGGTTGATTTTTGTCAACCTGCAAATCAGATAGTGACCGAGAAGTTTGCTTTTGATCAACCTGGTTCTCATAGTCAGGGAAATGGTGTGAATGCCGTGTCACTTGATCTTTGCCCTGAAAGTAAGGATTTGACTGAGGTGGTCAATGGGGATTCTTCTTGTACAAAGAGTTTAACAGAAGATAGAACAGGTACATTATGGCTTCTTTTATTCCTAAATGTTGATTGTAGATTCCTTAACTTATGTTAATATTCTTAAAGAGTCTTATACCTTCACCGGGGGAGGGAGGGGGGGAAAGCAGTACGAGGGAGGGTGAGGTGTTGGGGTCTTCGGATGAACTATTGTCCGTCCTACTAACATTAACTGTTGGAGGATAATAGATGTTGTGTGCCTCAAGTAGAAATTTGATGCATTCTTAGAAGCATGCAAAATTTCAGATCATTTTCTGTAGGCATCTAGCGACAAGCTTGTGCAATGCAAGGTGTATGTTTAGATCGATTCATAGGATTTTCAGATGGAGCACTGCCAATCCTACCAACTCAGGTGGTTGCAAGGAATGACGGTTATCATAGTGCCTCAAAGTAGAATTGGTTCATTAGGAAAGTTTGTTGCCCGGTATATGCCAAAGGACACACAAGTATTTATCGTTTTGTTCACACTATAGATGGTTTGACCAACTGTCGACCTATAACCAATACAATGACCAGTCTTTTCTTGGGTAGTCTGTTGGTATCATTTACTTAAGTGACTAGGCTTCTGTTCAGAGATACATATAAACTTGTTAAAGATCTGCTAAAAATCAACAAAGGTTATGGGTGGGATAGAGCTTAAAATTGTGCCATTAGTGAACTGTGATGAAGTTCCTATAGACCAGAGGCGAGGTCAGGATTTCAGCGTTATGGGTTCTAGATTTTAGAATGACGCCTTCCAGTGCTAATAACTGGGTTCTAAATTTATTATTTGTGGTTATTTAATAATTATTTTAATACAAATAGAATGTTTGAGCAAGAGCTACTGGGTTAGGCCGAACCCGTATTTATGCTTCTAGCTCCGCCCCTGCCATAGATTACATTCAGATCGAATAGTTGACTAAGTTGATGATTTCCCTCTCATAAAGGTCATTGATTTGATACTGTGCTGATGCAAACTGTTTGTTTGAACATTAATGCAGTTTTTCCCGCAATAAGATCAGTCTCGATGAGAGACATGGGAACAGAAATGACTCCTATTCCAAGTCAAGAGCCTTCAAGAACAGCTACACCTGTTGACGCAACGACCCCAATCCGCAGCCCTACTTCTTCAATCCCATCTACACCTCGTAGAGGAGAGCCAGCGCCAACGCCTACAGAGAATTGCATTGACAATGCTTCTCAAAATTCAACAGATAACAATAAAAAAGAATTGTCGGAGGAAGAATTAAAGATGAAGACAAGAAAAGAGATTGTAGCCCTTGGTGTCCAACTTGGTAAAATGAATATAGCTGCTTGGGCAAGCAAAGATGAGAAGGATAAAAGCGAGGCTGAAGCAGCTGAGGTTGCACGGATGGAATATGCTAAAAGGGCAGCTGCTTGGGAGGAAGCTGAAAAGTCAAAGCACTCTGCAAGGTTTGCGCCAATATCGAACACATTTTTAAATCTATGTTCTACTGTTAAATTATGAATTAACAGAAAGATCGTTGATATTCCAGTTATAAGCGTGAAGAGATAAAAATCCAAGCTTGGGAAAGCCAGCAGAAAGCAAAGCTAGAAGCAGAGATGAGGAAAATAGAGGTACATCTTATTTATCCATTTAGTAAATTATGTTATACCATGATTAAGAAGCCTTGTTCTTGAAATTTCTTGAATGTGTTTAAATGATCTGAAGTTGATTATGGATGGTTGGTTGTATATCGAACTTTGCTACTGAGACACCTAGGAATTTAACCAACCCGAGTTATGTGCTCGTACTGAGGCCATTTAACGTTATATTGAACTGTTACCACTTGAGTTAATGATTCAGGAGTCAACTTATTACAAAATCCTTATGTTATTTTGCATCATTGTATGTATTATTCAGGCACAAGTCGAACAAATGAGAGCACAAGCTCAAGCAAAGATGGTGAAGAAGATCGCGATGGCAAGACAAAGATCAGAAGAAAAGCGAGCTGCAGCTGAAGCTAGAAGAAATCAGCAAGCTGAAATAACTACAGAGCAAGTTGAATACATACGTCAAACAGGTCGACTTCCATCTTCTTCCTTCTCGTGTTGTGGTTGGTTATGATAAAGATTAAGCGGCAGAAGCTGCAGGCAGATCTTAATCAAGTTCACAAGGCACCTTACAAGTTAGCCTCTCTTATACTGGCAGGTTTTGTAACAACAGAAAGTATAGTATCATGTCGAACGTTTGTCCCCCCTTGTATCTATTCTTTTTGCAATCTGCAAATGTAAGTTTTTACATGGAATGAAGTTTGGTTTGGTCATTGATTTTTAGCTTCAAACATGTATTAAAAACTGCGGTTAGTTTTATAGCAAGAATTTTCAAGAAAAAAGAAAGTAAAGCAATTGTCATAAGCTTTTGTCTTGCTTTGAAAATGTGGACTATAGCAGCATAAGGGCCTTTTCTGAAATAGTATTATGAAACAAGTGAAAGATAATTGTATCTTTTTTGGAGAGTTTCGCCTATTTTAACCAACATTTTTGTTCATATTCAAATTAAAAAGAAAAGTAAAATTCATGGTTTTATTAAGACCCTATTAAGTCGAACCTTGGTTAAAAGAGATACTCAAAACAATCTACTCCTTGTGGCTCTTAGCTTGATTTAATTCTTTTCACATTATAGTTTCACAAGAAACTTTTCATGGATGGAGGTGACAGAAAGAGAGAAATTTAAACTGAAAACCAGTTACAACTCGGTGTCCGGTACCCGCATTGGAGCCCAACTATATCCGGATTCTCGCCGCATAGGGCCCCATTCGGGGACCAAAAATTTTCTATACCCAGTGCTCGAACTCGAAACTTATGGTTAAGGGAAGAGCAGTCCCATCCACTTCACCACATTAGTCTTATCAACATCAACCACAAGCCATTTTAGTGTATTTGTATGATCCGATAAATAATCTTGTTTTTAGTGGATAAGGACCTACTTATCTAAATTCGACCTTAGATGACCTAATTGACTCACGTGGAGATTAAGGGGGGGGGAAAAACTACCTATGTCGAATGTGTTGCATATTTTTTTTAATGGAAAAAACACAAGTTGTCTAATACTTCTCCACAATTATGTAATAGTGCTGAATAACGTAAACATTCCACAATTATGTAATAGTTGTCTATATTTTTTTTATAGCTATATTCCGCGCAAATCCGGATTAGTAAGGCTAGTGAATTTCAGACACTGGAATCTGAAAGCAAAAAGATAAATATTCTCTCCACCTTTTCAATTTTCATGTGGTAGTGTTTGCTGTAGACACTTAACAGCCAAACATTACCAATTTTTCAAGTTTTCCACTCAATACAGTAACAAGGTTACATTCTGCTGCATATAACTGTACAACCAATCAAACTCTACTGGCTACAAATAGAGTAGCTGTGTGACTGTGAGCTATACGATTAAACGAAAATTCTGCATTGTGGTTCCAGCCGTATAGAATGGTTTGTAATATATGCATAGAGTCCATTGCCGAATCAGGAACTAAGCTGTGGCTCCCAACTGAATGACAAAAATCCGAAAATGCATCCTCTGCGTTGATAATAGATAATGTGAATTTTTTTTCCGGACAGATCAAGAGAGTTCATCCAATTTTAGATAAAAAGAAGAAGAGAAGATACGTTTAACAAACTTTTGGCTTTCTGGAATCAGTAAACGACAGTTTTCCAGATTGCTCATGTAAAAAAGGCAAGAGAAAAGTTTTCAAATAGAGCACAAGCATATCTTACATTAGATGCTAACGAGCTTTCTTCATACGTTTTGGGGGCCTCATCGTTTCTCTCCTTGAATCTTCTGCAGTTTTGGCGTCAATCAATGACTGAAAGCATTTGGAAGGAAAAAGAAAGGTTATTTTGATAATCAATATATCAAAAGCAAAAAACAAGGAAATATTCTCTTGAGCTTTTCCCCACACAAATGACATTAGTTAATTTACAAAACAAGCAAGCATTGTAGTAGAAACTGGAACTAAGGAGTTAGAAAAGCATTGCAAAAGAGGATTCCTTTCCAATTTTTACAGGACCTAACGTCTGGAGAACAATTGGGATAGAAGAGCAGCTATCGAGGTAAGAAGAAATAAAGCCTAAAAAAGACAGACTTTAATTAGGAGTTGAGGTGTTTGATATTTATTATACTGTTTGAGTTGTTAAGAGCATTAGAGCTGGTTTGTATTACCAGAAAAAGAATCTATAACCTCGGTGACCTGCGTGTTCATTTAAATTGGAACATTCTCATTTTCTTTGACAGAATAAAATGCTTGCATCTTCTTCTCATAAGCTTCTTTTATCTAGCCCCTTCAGTTGTGCTCCTCTTTCAATTATAGTTCACCTATTATCAGATGGTTAAAAACATCATCTGCTCATCAACACATATACAAGTACAAGATCCTTCTCTTAGAATTTCCAACTACGATTCCCTAAGTCCTCTCTTTTCTCTGACGATGGTATATACTTCTCGGCAATGTATGTATACCATTTTTTGTTTTCGACAATGTATTTATAAATAAGAGCTAGAAAATCTTTAAATCAAGATCACAGGAAAAAAGGCGGAGCCAGGAACACCATTATACGTCTACAGCTAGGAAAAAAGGCAGAGCCAGGAACACCATTCAAGCAAATAAGACCGTCTAGCGAAAAGTAGAATTGCAAGTCAAACATCATAATAGACTGATAATCAAAACACAGGAATTATAGACCAGGACAACAACATATACAAGAGTTTGCACATGAAAACAACTCACACCCATCTTGCTAAAATATAAAAATAAAACTGTAAAGATCCTCTAGTTCAAGAAAGACAAGAAAATTTACAAGCATAACGTCACTGTTAAGACCATGTTATACTGATGTTAAATATTAATCTCATGAATATTATACTCAGTCTAAATAATAGGTTTCAATTATGCCATGAAAGTTGGGATTTCACAAGCCACGAGAAAGCAGGGGCCTCCATCAAAGTGAAATGAACAAAGTTGCAGGACTATATTTCTAACCTCTTCCACTTTTTTTTGAAGTTCCAAAAGTTCTTGACAATACGCAAGGCACTCTGCATGGTATATAGCAGCTAAGTCTTTTATCATGGCCTTCCTTCTGATGATACCAATCACTGTAATATCCAAGAAGAAACAGCACATGTAAGATTAAACAAATCTAACTCTCCTTTATGCCAAATCTAACACAATTTTTTCTTTTGGGCACAAACATTTCGATCAACAAATACGCAGTCACCGAATTCCTTGAAGGTGATATTATTTGTCTGTCATAGAGACAACTGATAACTAGTTATCTATTACAGTTAACCACCATCTTATCTCATTGGAAGATAATTGTTCAAGAGACTAAAACTGACAATTAGTTAATCTATTGCAAAAGATCACCACTGCAAGTTGGCCAAAGAGACACAATAAATGGGCAGCCTAAAGAAAGAAAATGAGAAGTCAACCAATATGAAGATGAAAAGTTCTGTTTTCACATAAATTATAATCAGATACCAAGAAGGTAAAAGTTTACAATACAAACTTTTTAAGATTGGTTTTTATTTTTAGTTTTAGGATTATAACTAGATAATTCTTTCTTTGACAGGTAGGATTGTATCTAGAATTCTGTGGCCCTTCAACTGCGACTCTTCCCGACATGAGCAAGAAGTGACATATTATTGCAATGTTCATTCTTTGATTATTATCTCAACCCACCTCCAACCCTCCCAAGAAAAGGAGACATAGAAAATAAAACAGACAAATCTTTAGTTTATTATTAATGAACATTGTTTCTGGCCTTTAGGGTTCAAGTAAAGCTGTTGAAGCATTCCTTAGGTGAACAAAGTGCAAGTAATAAATATTGAAATATTGGATTGAAACCCCTAAAGTGTCTCAGCTACAAAAGAGAAACAAAAGAAACTAATAGGAAAAAAACAGCCAAAAAAGATACAATAACAACTACACATCAATCACAAACAAGTTGAGGTCGGCTATAGGAATCCTCACTGGCCATGTTGCTTCATTTAAGCCCATGCATGTTGGTTCAAATATCATAAAAGATTAGGTTTTCTAATACTAGAGGTTGTCTACATTTCCTACTGGCATATAAAAAGATAAACAATTAATAACATTATAAAATTACAACATCACTGTAGTTAAAAACAATAATGCAAAATTTGGCAAACACAATGATGTAACACATCCAAGACCATACAATTACATCCCTCTTCTCCATTGCCAATTCAGAGGAAAACCAAATCCCAGTACACCAATTAGGTAGTTTTCAAACTGAAGCTAAAAATTCTAATCCCAACGTTAACAAACAGGACATTCTAATCGCTAGTTCTAAGCAACAGGAAAATTATGTAAGGTACTTCCCAAAGATATTACTATGAACAATTAGCAAGACTCAATGCCCAATTTTGACAAACGTGAGGATGTAAATAGATATATGAAATTTCACCAATTACACCCCTTTCCTCACCATCACCATATCAGATTACTTTCAAACTAAATCTGAAAACTTTCATCCATAGTGTCAACAAATATTAAATCCTAAACAGTATATCAAAATTAATGGGCAGAAATATAATTATTTTATATCAGTCATTTTGGGAAACAACCTCTCTACTTCATCGGGTAGGGGTAAGGTCTGCGTACACACTACCCTCCCCAGACCCCTTACCCGTGGGATTTCACTGGGTTGTTGTTGTTATATCTGTCGTTTTACTCGGACCAGGGCGGACAGTGATGGAGCTAGGAATTTATACAAGGGGATTCAAAACTATTAAGAACGTCACCTGGGATATCAACCTATGACCTAAAGCAATTTCTGAACCCCTTTTGCCACTTCACTAGAATTTTCCTCAAGTCTAGGGGATTCAACCGTTTATATATAACAAAAAGATAGGTTTTTGCCCTATTTGCACAGTGTAATTTTCCGACAAAAGGGATTTAATTGAACTCCCTTTCTTCAACTTAGCTCCACTATCCACAACTGTCTGGCAAAGGATTGAGCGCCCATCGCCAGAAAATTATACAGTGTGTATAGGTCAAATGTCTATCGGAAACAGCCTCTCTGCCCCTATCGGGGCAGGGGTAAGGTCTGCGTACACATTACCCTCCCCAGTTGTTGTTGTTGTTGTTGTTGTTGTTGTGTATAGGTCAAATATTACTTTTTATACATATTATATTAAATCTTGAACATCTTCCTGGATCTTAAAACCAGTTCATTCCAATACGAAGTAATTTGTAGCAAATTTCACATAAGTTTCTATTAAGACTAAAAGACCAAGAAAAAGAGGGGGAAATCTCCCCTTTAGAATGATGGCAGAAATATATGAAAGGGTTATTTTTTCAGGGAAAAAGAAGAAGTAATTGCCCTCATCCCCAAAAAAGCTAATTGGGTTGGCTTAAAAATTTTCTATATCCATTCCTTAAGAGACCCATAGTACATTAATTAAAATAATATAAGGCAAATTAGATTCTACAAATCTTACACTTACTTCTGCTGGGATTGAACCCAGTTCGAGGAGGTGGGGTTGTTGCTGGATCTGATGGTTGTGATGGAGGAATAGGAATTGGATCAGACGGTGGAGGCTGAGGCTTTGGCTGTGACTCTTGGGGATCAGAAGGAGGAAGAAGAGAAGATGGGTTCTCAAGTTGTTCAACCATATTGTTGCTCTTGAGACGAGGGTTCTGTCTCTGTCTCTGCAAGTAAGTAGTAGTAACTTTTGTAGGAGACGAGCCTTTTTAGGCTATGGTATTCTGAACCCATCCTGCCCACCAGCTCTCTTTGTTCTACTGTTGATTTGCAGGTAAAATATGTAAGTAGATGTTAGGTGGAATAGCAAAAAAGAAATTCTTACCAGCACCTGGAGTACTATTTATAATAAGACCAAATAATTTAATATTTCAATTTAAAAATTCAATTGGTGTTTTATGAAATAAAGACTATAAAGTAAATAACCAAAGACAAGTATAAAAAATATGTTTATTATTATTCAACTTTAATTTGATGTACTGAAATTTCCTCTATTTACGGAAGAAAGGAAGTTGATGTGTAAGCTGTTGTATAAGCTACTTGTAAGTTGCTACTACAAGCTGTTGTGTAAGTTGCTTGTAAGCTCCTACGATAAGCTGTTGTATAAGCAGCTTACAAGCAGCTATTGTACCACTATAGATAATCTTCTACAAGAAGTAATATTTATTCACACCATAGTACCGAAATGATAAGCTTCTTCAGGAGGCTTATTTCCAATAGAGTACTAAATAAATAAACATATTTATGGCGGAGTCCAATATGGATAAGCTTCTTCATGAAGCTTATTTACAGTGAAGTACTAAATGGACATCCACAATATAACAACAACAATATAATACCCAATGTAGTCCCACAAATGGAGTCCGGGGAGGGTAGAGTGTATGCAGACCTTACCCTCGACTTTAAAAAGGCAGAGGGGCTTCTGTGCTCCTCCTCCTCACATAACAAACCACCTAAGTCGCACTTCCCGCATCTTGTCCTCAATAGGGGCCACACCTACCTTGTCGCGAATAACCTCAATTCTGATCTTATCTAAACTAGTGTGCCTGCACATCCATCTCAACATCCTCATCTTTGCTACCTTCATCTTATGGACATGAACGATCTTGATTGGCCAACACTTATCCCCATACAACGTCGTTGGTCTAACCGCCACTCTGTAGAACTTACCCTTAAGTTTCGGTGGCACCTTCTTGTCATACAAAGCACCGGAAGCGAGTCTCCATTTCATCCATCCCGCCCCAATACGATGCGTGACATCTTCATCAATCTCCCCATCCCCCTGAATAATAGACTAAATGTACTTGAAACTTTCTCTCCTAGGGATGACCTGCGAGTCCAGCCTCACCTCCCCTTCCCCTCTTAGAGTCTCGCCACTGAACTTATACTCCAAGTATTCTGTCTTGGTCCTGCTCAACATGAAATCTTTAGACTCAGGGGTCTGCCTCCATACCTCTAATTGCGCGTTCACACCATCTCGCATCTCGTCAATCAATACAATATCATCTGCAAATAGCATGCATCACGATACCTCCCCACCAGAGAAAACAAAAAAGGGTTGAGTGCCGACCCCTGATGCAACCCCATCATAACCGTCTGAGTCCCCACCCAACGTCCTCACACGGGTCTTTACTCCATCGTACATGTCCTTAATCAACCTAATGTAGGCAACCGGTACACATCTAGCCTCCAAACATCTCCACAAAACCTCCCTCAGAACTTTATCGTACTTCTTTTCTAAGTCGATGAACACCATATGCAAGTCCTTCTTTCTCTCCCTATACTGTTCCATCAATCTCCTAACAAGGTGGATGTCTTCTGTAGTCGAACGCCCCGGCATAAACCCGAACTGGTTCTCGGAAATAGACACACTTCTCATCACCCTTAACTCTACCACTCTCTCCCAAACTTTCATAGTATGGCTAAGCAGCTTGAGATCTCATCACTTTTTCTATTTTCAGGTACCCGAACCACTTCTGAGATTTCATAAAATGTTATGTCGTGACCTCTTCTAGAAGTCATTTCTTCCACATTATGATCATTAGTTCCTATCCTTTTTCGAGAAGTATTACTTTTGGAACCAATTGGTTTACACACTCCATGCATGTAGTAAACTATGTCCTTCGGGGACTTTAGTTTTAATAGGAGCATTTGCAGCTAAAATATGATACTTAATTTTGGATCATCAAATGCTTCAGGCATTTGACTTGAATTATCTTCTGAATAAGGATCATACCAATGATAATTCAATTCATATAACATATTTCTTAACTGCATATCCCCCCCCCCCAATGTTAGAAAAACTAACATATATCTCTAATTTTCTTCGGGGAACATATCTTTGTGTGTTGTGGTAGAGAAATTAATTATAAACCATAAATCAAAAGTTATTGGATAGTAAACATTAAGTTCATGATCTTGCCCAATTGTGAGGGGATGACTTATCATATCTTGTAGGTCTGATACATACAAGTGTTGTTATATGCAATTTAGAAAATCTTAGACCAATACATGAAGCTTTGTTCTCATAAGCAATGGTTTAGTCATTAATAGGAGGCATTCAATGCTAAAACAACTTTGATATAAACCAGCATTATCAAGATGAACTGTCTTGATTGCATAATCTGAAAATTGTGTTCTTAATTGAGAAAAAGTAATTTTAAATGTCAAACTGCAGGTTGACGATAGTCACATATGTAACAATCTCATATATGCATCCATGAGTGGTTCACATGTTAGGTGAATGAGCCCATATTCACCTTTTTATATACTTCAGAATTCAGGGGTCTTAGTCCCAACTTTAGCTGGTATAGTTAATTTATTATGAAAACAAGCAACACAAGAGAATTCTTGAAGAATCTTCTAGTTCTTCAATATATGCTTATCATAATTCTCAATTGGTTCATCATACTTAAATCGGATGGCAATCCCGACTATACCGACTGATAACTTATTTACACTTGAAAACTTTAAGTTTATAATGGCATGTGCTATCTTTCAGTAAACTTTTGGTTTACTATGGCTTAAACTTTTGTATTAGTAAACTTCTAATTTACTGTGGCTACTTTTGTATCAGTAAATTTCTGGTTTATTGTAGCTACTTTTGCCTCAGTAAAACTTCTAGTTTAGTATGACTGTTTTTGCATTAGTAAACTTCTAATTTACCGTTACACGTAATATGGTGCAAATTTAAAAATAAAGCGGGTAACTTCTCATATACATATTATTTTATCCCCTATGATTGTGGAAACAGGAAGATTTTTAATCTTTCAATCATTTGTAGTCTCAATATGATATCTATTTATATTAGTAAACTTCGGGTTTACTGCAACATATATTTTGACCACAATCATATAATATGAATGACATATTTGCATGTATAAGCTCTTCGATAGACATTATTTATTACCCACAATCTAATATCATTCGAACACTACTGGTGTCATGTGTCTTCATGATTGAACTTTGATCCAAACATAATTTGAGAAATATTCATATTCTTCAAAATGAAATGATATAAAATAAATATTATAGTAAATATTATTATCAAAACATGACTTTTATTTACGTACAAGAATTACATTAACATGACCATACTATCTAATACAAACAACAACAGTTAAAATATTTAAATTTTTACAGATTCATCACCGATCACATGACTTGTTTCTCCTTCTGGGAGTGCAAAGAAATCAACTTCATCCAAATGCATGAAGTCAACATTATCTTCAGAAATAAATTTTGCTTCAACATTATTCTCTGTCTTCTTTACGGAGGCTTGATAAAGCTCAATTAGATGCTTTAGCGTACGACATGCACGTGACCAGTGCCCTTTTCCTCCATATATGCAATTGGATTACACCCCTCCTTTCTCAGTTTCTTTAGTGCCATTCAAATTTTTAATTCCAACCAGCTCGTTGCAATCCATCACCGCCGCCCATATTTCTGTTAACTTCAAGGGCTGCAATCCAGGTTCTATTGTTCCTCTCTTGTCTTGATATTTTAATAGTTTGATATTTTAGCGTAATTGTATCCCCTTGCCTGCCTATTTTGTTCTTGATTCTTTAGTTAGTATTTGCCCTAGCGTTGTCAAATTAATTGCATTAGTGATAGCTTTGCCTACTTGTTTGTATTATTATCTACCTGTTTACATCTTTATTTTGAATCTTTATTTCATATATTCCCTAGTAGTTCTGCTTTAGTTTTGTATACTTTCTTTTTGACCTTTAGTTGTAGAATATAGTCCCATTTAGCTCCTTTATTGTATTTCTTCACTTATTTTTCTGTCCTTTAGTTGTAGATTATTAGTTTTCTTTAGTTCCTTTATTTTATTTGTTCACCTGCTTTTCAGACCTTTAGTTGTAGGTTATAGTTCCCGTTAGTTCCTTTATTTTATTTCTTCACTTGTTTTGCAACTTTTAGTGGTAGATTATATTTCGGTAATTCATTTTAGTTTGTCGCTTATTTTTGGGATAGTGCTTACGTAGTAACTCCTAGATTATAGTGGCTTTGGTGAATAATGGTAGGGTATGGTCTTGTCCTCGAGGGTGTCAGCGGGGGAGGGGGTGCGGGGTAAAAGGGCTAAGGGAGCTGCTAGGCTGAGAGTGGGGTCTTGGAACATAGGAACTTTGACTGGAAAATCTGTAGAGTTAGTTTTGATACCCAATTTTTCCCTCATATATTTTAAATACGCATATATACTTTCAAAATAGTGCGTGAGCATCATCAAGTATTTTTCCTAATTTTTCATAATTTTTAAAAGATTTTTTAATCAATTTATTTCCATATTTTATTGTATAAATAATCATTAATTGCATCAAAAATAATTTTTATGATGATCTTATCATCTAAATTCATCATTTATATCCATATTAAGTCTTTTATACTTTCATGTATTTATCATAAATACATCTGCATTTTCTAAGGCTAAAATTATACATTTCGCAATAATAGCCCGTATATACTTATAATTACTTTATTTTTTGCAAAAAATAACTTTTTATATTTTACTAGTGTTAAATAATTGTCATTAATCATTTTTATGTACAAATAGTATTTTCACTATTTTATTTATCATTTTTCACAAATTCTTTTATTAATTAAATTGGGTATTTAACTAATAGCCCCTAAATTCACTAATTTTGGACCTAAACTACCAACCCCTTAGCCCATTTACCTAAAACACCTACCCAAATTCTTGGCCCAACACCCCCTAGCCTAGTCCGGAATCGACCCAGCTCTTTTTAAATCACAGCCGTTGCTCTCTGAGATCAACGGCTCATATCACTCCCTT